TTTTTTCCTTTGTTTAAAATTTTAATTTCAAAGTAAAATATCCCACATTCTGAAGGGATTGGATTGTTTGCTCGAACGATTACAGCTTTAAAGTCATCAGGATCTTCAATTAAAAGGTTTTAAATAAATTAAATAGCTATGATTATATTCTTTTAAATGCCGATTTACAGTAACATTAAATATATTTCTGCAAGTTATCTCATTTTCATATTACCTGCATAACTCGCTTTAATTCCACTTGAATCTATGTCAATAAATGGTGATTTATCTTCAATATCCCATGCAGTAGGTAAAACCAATTCTAAATCTCCCATTGCTGTAGGTTAAAATTCAATTAAGATCCTTTGTTAATGAACAAAAGTAATTTATACGTAGAATATTAACGAACGCAATGTACTATATATGTATACGTAGTTGTATTCTGTACTATTCATAACTTAATCTTATTGATATCGATATATTTGAGTTTGTGTAATCTTTTTTAAAGTCTGCGATTAATATTAACTGCAAATAGACGATCAATTATGCGGTTAGCTGCGAATAAAGATTTGTTTTACGTAATACTGTAATATATATAGAGTTGCAGACAATAATAATAACATGACATTGTACCGGAAACGTGACTTGACGGCAGGCACGTGACCACATGACTCGGTAAATCCTAATTTGGGTTTCCCGCCCAGATGGTGGGCCCACCTAGTATCTCATAGGTATGATTGGCAGTTTAAATCAATTTTATTTTACAATATTTATACAGTTTAAAGTATTTTTTTAAAAAAAAGAAAACTACGAAGAATAAACAAAAAAAGAAGTATATAGAAGTTTTATTTAAAAATAATCAAAATTCTTTTTTGTTTTAGAGAAGTTAGCATGGTGATAACCTAATTTTAAGAAGTCGCTATTATGCTAACTTCTCTAAAACAAAAATATTTTTAATAGTGGAGTCCTACAACGCTAATAAAACTTTCTATATACTTCTTTTTGTTTATTCGTAGTAGTTTTCTTTTTTTTAAAAAGTACTTTAAACTGTATAAATAATGTAAAATTAAATTGATTTAAACCGCCAATCATACGAATATCTGCCTATGACCTAGTATCGCCACCAAAATCAGTTACGTATAACGGAGCTTAAATTTATTGCCGATATTAAAATTAATGATTAATACAATAATGATGACATTTGTAATAACAATTTATAATGAAAAAAATTTATTTCTTTGAATATCGTAATATTTTCTAAATAAAACACAATTTTGTTCATCTTGTCAAATTACGAAACCAAAAACTTCAGTTTAAAATAATAAATCATGTTTTGAGTGTACAATCCGTGTAATGAAAGAAAAAAACAGAAATGTGAGGATCAAATTTTAAATAATATTCGCATGCAAAAGAAAATTCGAAGAGCTTGAATATATAGTTTATAAAAACTTATGGATGTTGAAGGAAAAGCAATATGTATATAGATCTTGAGATGGTTGTAGATATTTCTCAAACAGTTAACGAATTAGAAGTAAATAACATGGATGAAGCTTTTGCAAGTTCATTGTTATTATTTTATGGTTTAAAAATTTCTAAATCTAATATCATATTAATTTAGGTACAATAGGATTCTCAATATCCTCTTATTACAGAAACTTTATTGGAAAATAATAAAGATCAACCTTAATCAATTACACAACGATCGATCTGGTAAATTCAGAAAACCAAAATATAGATAATGAATAATCGAGTAACTGATAGTAAATCCGAATCTGAAATTTTAAGCAAGTACAAAAAAACTCTTCATTGGTATAAAAAAATTTTTCATTAAATTTCCATGTTTAAATATATTTATTAATTTTATGTTTCAGGCGCTTGATGTCTTAAAAAATTTAATAACCTTCTTAAACAAAAAAATGGCTTCGAAGTATTGGATCGAGCTTTAAACCTATTCAAAAAATGGTAGATGACATTAAAGATTTTGAACGAGCAAAAAGCTTCCAAAAAACTTGGAGTGGACGTAACAAAATACCTTTTACTAGTAGCTGATAGCATAAAAAATTCAAATTTGAAGCTTTATACGTGTATTAAATAAAATTTGAATTTGGATGTAAATATATTCTATACATTTGAATTGAATGTAATTTGACTTACAGTAGAACATTTAGCGATAATTAAATAAATTCTAAGTTGAATAAATATTAAAAAAAAGCTTTGACTATTTCTTCAAAAATTTTGTAATCTCGTGATTTATTATTCTTGTGCGCGGTTTTAAATTTAAAAAACGATTACGTAACTGATTTTGGTGGCGATACTAGGTGCGTTGATGAAATGGCGGATCTCAGTAATACTGGCTATAGGGCAGATATTGGATATGGAAGATTTTTGGGAATGTAAATAATAGAATTCGAAATTATAAATAAAGGCCCTTTTGACCCTTGGGAAGAATAACTCCCGCCTTTGCTTTTATTAAATCATATCATACAATAACTTTTCATAAATCTTATAATTACTCCTAATAAATCATACAACTATAAATTGAACATAACTCAATAAATACGCTCTCTAACTGTCTATATAAACTAGTCGTTATAAAACACTATCCCAAAACTCTGCATAACCGCTCGTCCAAATCTAGCACGCCTTTTCGACACACTCATAACCTAACCTCTTGGTCACACGATGCTCTTATTGATCAAGCGATAGACTCGCCGATTTTGGGTCTGACAACGGTACGGTAAAGCTGTATTATGCAATTATAAGTCAAATGAATATCAAATAATACGTACAAAATATATGTTATGTGATCCTGATGAAACAATGTTGGATTAGAGATTCAGAAAGGCGGTCAGAAGAAAAACTCTGAAGTTTTTAATTAAAAAATGGAACTAAAAATACTTAAGCAGATCAGAAACTTGACATAAATGCAAATAGTGGTAGCAAACTAATTGGTCTATATTAATCAAAATCAAAATCGCATTTTATTTCGGAACTGTGATCAATATTTTATATTAAATATATAGGGGAAAAAAAAACCTCTAAGCAATGATTGGGTTCGAACGTGTCTTAAAACGAATTCAGTTTGGATCTTTAAATGGGTTATGACAATTCAATCTATATTCAATAGAATAGATAGCTGAGAACAATTAAATGTTAAATGTATTGCCTGTATTGAATGCCAACTAATCAAATTTTGAGGTTGATTTCGTCGATTGTATCAAAACGTCATTTTCAAAATAAGATACTTCAAAAGTTTTAACGTAAAGGGGAAAAAAAATATAGATAGTATATAAATGTGAAAAAACAAAAATTTTTATTATAATAAAGAATATTGGTTATATTGTAAGATATAAATGTTAGCTTAGAAGTAAAAACTGTCTTTTTTTTTACAAAACCTATATAAATTTTATATGTGCTACAACTTGTAGATGCCTTAATTAAATCATTACCCTGAAAATTTTCTGACATTACACTTGACCGATATATAATAGCAGACTTATAATCGTCATTTGGTAAATGATTTGATCATACTTGTCAAATTTTGGTTTAGCATTTACAACAACTGTATTCTAATAACGTGTAATGTTCTTGATTAGATACAATATATTCAATTTCCTGTAGTAACCTACCCATAACAATCTTAGATTGCAGAAGTTCGACTAAACCGAAATAGAATCAACAGCCGTGTACAAAAATGACAATATAATTTACCGCGAGAATAAATTATATCAAAAAAAGGTAAATCGTTAGCCCCAATCTCCAAAATTAGCATGTAATTATGGCGCATGAGGAATCCAATCTCCAAAATTAGTAGATATAACGTTTATGAGAAAAACTGTGATTTGTGCAAATGTAGAATCCAATCAACTTTAAATTTTGCCTTCGGCTTATTCACCGTAAAAACATACACTTCGTACTTCGTACTACGTTTTTGGTATATAATAATAAGCGATTAAAAACCGGTTAATACATTAATAGTAAATAAATCAAAAAAAGTTATTGATATAAGATATATACCATATATAAAATCAATAATACTAAGAATTCCAATTTAAATTTGAAGCACATTGATTCAGATGCATTTGAAACTCACTTTTATCACGTAGAATCTCAAAGTTTACATAATCACAAAGGCACCAGAATAGGATAAATTCTCAATAAAAACTTATGATAGAGATTTAAGTTATAAATCAGGGAGCAACGTTTAAAGTTAGTTTCCAACAAGATGTGGATACTTAATGATAAGCCAAATATGCTTTAATAATTTGGAAACCTAATAGATAACGAATGAAATTATACACTAATCGACAACTTAATTTAGAAATAAGTTTTCATAGTTGAAAAATAACACTGAAAGTTTTCTGTAGAACTCAGATTCCAAAGCAGATTTTATTTTAACCGTCTGTTTAATTAACAGTTGTTACTACACCTAATCATGAAATTTGATTGGCAAAATTACAGGGTACAACTCTTTGGATGTGCTAGGAAATAATCATGATACAGTGCAATGAAATTAAGTTACAGCAAATAGTAAAGGTTTGTGAAATTGAATATCTTATTTTAATAAGACTAATAGACTAATGCAAAATTAATAGCTAATATTTAAAGGATCGTATAGTTTCTCAGTAGGCAAATAAATTATTTTTTTCTAGTAAAATTTTATAACAAGAGGTACTAGAAAAAGATGCACTGACATTTAGAATAAAAAAAGAAAATTTGTGAAGGGTATTAAAAATATCTGACAGGGCATTGGTGCTAACAATAATGATTATATTCGCAAATTGTACCAGCTACACTTTTCTAAGAAAGTTCCTGAGGTTGTTATATTAAAGCCTGTAATTTTCAAATTGGAAAACTCAATATGCAAGACACTAGTTATACAAAACACAGTCATTTTATTAAATGTACTGGTTTTTTAAAAAAAAACTCAAAATTGAACTTTAAAAGCAATAAGATAATTTGAAGTTTAAGAATGTTTCTTAGCAATACAGTAATACCTATATTCTGAACTATTCACTTATACAATTTGTATTATCTTACTCAATTCGCCGATTCGTATTATTTCGTCTGTAAACCTATTATGAAGAGATAGACACCAGGCGCACTAATAGCAAGCGAAATCTAAATCATGCGAATTTCAATTCCCGTATTTGTGCGTAATAACGCGCAGGTGCGCGTTATTTTGACACCCTACGCGTTATTTCGGGACGCGCATGCGCGGTAATTCGACAAATTCGGGTTACAAGAGGAAGCCCTGCTTTTATTAATGAGCTTGCCTGAAAAATTCAATCAAATATGATAATATGGTACTTATAAGGGATGCGTTATTTTGGGCGTTATTTTGAGTCAAACCCCAAATTTTTAGAAAATGGGAGTTCGAAATAACGCCCATGTGCGTTATTACGCGCAAACTTACAAATCGTGTATAACATACCGAAATAATTTGATTATTATATATAAACATATTTAACTAATTGCATTGTTCACGCTTAAAAGCCGATAGTATCGTGTAAAGAAAAGTTTTTTTAAGCACCATAACTATATATTACATTTTAGTGCTTAAATTTAATTAAGTTGAAATCACTAATCAGTGAATAATGAAGCTCGATGCATTTTTTTAGCTGCATGTTTTACCAAATTGTCAGATAAATACTATATACGTATAAACTATAAATAATTTTTTTTAAAAAAATTATTATCAATGCTTTAAATAGCTTGAGGAAAATTAAGTAAATTATCTGGATCAAACTTTCCTTTTGTAGCGACTAACTTTGGAAAATTTGAACCATAATACCTAGTTTGCCAATCATCCAAATCTCTATCAATATAATTCTGATAACTACTATAATCAGTAAATGATTTTTGATAATAAACACCAAAGTTATTAATCAGATCAACGCATTCCTCGGTTGTTGATAAATCTCCATTCAATTCCATTAATAATTGAATTCCATATAATATATCTCTATGCACAAATGCGGTTTCATTCGCAGCAACACTATTCACCGCACCACCATATAGATCGAATATCGCTTGGGTTGGACAATCGCTAGGAGCTGTTGAAATAAAATTTCTAAGAGATTGAATACCTTCATGGGAAAGTCCGGGTAATTTTACAAAAAATGATTTAACTTTAAAACTATACGGTTGAAGAACTGGATTTATAACTCCTTCTTCTGTTACACCACTCCATCTTACAACGCTTGAGAAAAATGTTTCTTCGTAATAATAAGTTGAATTTGGTTTTGATAATGATGTAAAATTTTTCATAACTATTTGTGCATTCTCTTCAGTTCCTAGATAAACTCCATTAAGTTGTAAATAAGTTGCATTCAAATTTACAAGAAATGTTATATCATCTGTTAATGTTTGACCAAGTTCATTAATTGTATCGAAAAGGGTTTGAACTTCATCGATGTCGTAAATGAATGTAATGGACGTGACTGTAGGAGGAGTAGGATTAAGTTTAAAAGTAAATGATGTTACGATTCCAAAGTTATTACCGCCAGCACCACGAAGGGCAAAGAATAAATCTTCATTTTCCGTTGCGTTAGCCGTAATCAATGTTCCATTAACGGTAACCATATCAATGGAAAGAATATTATCCGAAACGATTGAATATTTTCTTGAATATAACCCAAATCCCTATAATAAAGGTAATTGTTATTATAAATATATTATAGATATATTATAGATATATTGATAATAGTAAATAATAATATAAAGGCACTTACACCACCTAAGGCGTGACCACCTACACCGACACTTGGACAAGATCCGGCAGGAATCAAAAATCCATTTTGGCTTAAATTGTAATAAATTTGTCCTAATTTATTACCTGAGCCTATGATTGCAGTATTTATCTCTTTTTCAACATTAATATTATTTAATTTTGAGACATCCACAGCCATATTTCCGAAAGTGCTATACGTTTCATAAGAATGACCTCCTGATCTTGCACTAATAGTTAGATTTAGAGACTTTGCACATTGGATAGCAATTTGCACGTCATTTACGTTAGCTACATATACAATCACTATAGGATGAAAAGTTACACGAGTGTTCTCATCCGTAATGTCTTGAAAATATTGTGGGTTATCAGGAAATACCATTTGACCTTTGATAGGATTGAGACATGATTCAAGATCAATTCTTTTAAATTTTTTAATTGGTGAGGTTTTAACAACCATAATCAGAAAAGATAATATACAAAAATGCAAAAAGACTTTTTTAAACATTGATTCTGCCATTATTGTTTACAATTATGGTTCAAACTTTTTAATACACATTTTTTTTTAGACTTATTTATATTAAATAAGGTAGCTGTGCGACTTCATCTCGAAATATAATAGAATTACCTCGGGTCGTGACTATCGCTATCCTGTCCGCACCAAAGTATTTGATGAGTTAGAACTATCCTCTACATAAGTCATGGCTTATTGTTTTAGACAGCAGGCTCTGTTCATCTTTTTGATGCTCATTAATCCTTTTTAGTAATGATTTTTTATAAAAAAACAAACAAGTCTTGACTACTATCTGTGATCTACCAAAGTATATTATACCCTTACTTTTAGTATTTATCTAGGTTTATATACTTCTATTACTTTATTTAATTTGTCCAATTAAGACATTTCATACCGTATATCGTGTTTATAGTTGTTAGACGAAACCTTTTTTGCTTGATGACGAAAGACGAAACCTTAAATTCCGCTGACGAAAGACGAAACTCTAGAGCTCCCGCTAAAAAAAAGTAAAATAATATATATATATATATATATATATATGCATGTAAATAATAATAATAAAAAAAGCGAATTGTTGAAAATTTATGATAATAATGAATCCTAGTGAAACTAAGATCAGTAGAAGTAATAAAATTAACTCTATAATTTTAGATATTTACCCAATTGATAATACATTATTGGGGCTTTTTATTTATATTTAATGCTGAAGATATTTATTAACTTGTACGTATATTTAGGTTTTAATAAGCCGATTACAGTAATTATTGATAAGTAAATTAGCCAATAGCATCTTAAATTATTATATTTGGTGCTGAATATGTTTATTGGATTGACCCGGCTTGCATATTTAGTTTTTAAAAGGCCAATTGCAGAAATTATAAATAGCAAATAAACCATTAGCTCTCTCAATTATTATTTTTAACGCTGAAGATTTTATTGGCTTGGCCCGGCTTGTATATTTAGTTTTTAAAAAGTCAATTACAGAAATTATAAATAGGCTAATAAGCATTAGCCTCTCTCAATTATTATGTTTGATGCTGAAGATGTTTATTGGCTTGACCCGGCTTGTATATATATGTTTTTTAAAAAGCCGTTACAGAAATTAGAAATAGGCGAACAAGCCATTAACATTTCTCAAATATTTAAATATATAAATATAAATATAAACGTATTGTAATGAATTTAGTAAATTTAAATTCAAAATAAATTTTTCTACAAAATTTTAAGTCACGGCAATAAAGTTTAACCTCACAATTCAAATTAATAACTATAAAATTTGTCACGTAAGTAATTTTCTAGCAAAAAATATTATTGTTAAGTTAAAAATGAAACCTTTTATTAATTTATAATACCGTATTCCTCACCAATTTTTTGCACTTAATGTTGGCCAAGATAGTTGTAATTCAGGCCAGGTGTTTATTTCGGGCAGGGACCCGGAAAAATTCCGGTTTGATTTGTAAATATTCATTCCGGTTTGGTTAAAAAATCCGGTTTATACCGATATAAAAATTTTTTATATACCATTATTAACTACTAGTGCGATGGGCTTAATAGTCATGTCTATATATTTATTGAGTTCATTTATAATCATAGTATACAGTATATTTGTCGATAAAGTTATTGCTGCCGATTCTGTTCAAATTCCAGAATTTAAGATCTTTAATTTATATCGGCCTAGTTTTAGGGGCGTAATAAAAAATTTATATAATACATATAAATTTATATAATAAGAAGAATGGACTTCTAATTTTGAAGTTTGTGTGGTATGTATCTTTTTGGGATATAACAGTATCAACAGAAATGTATATATTAATTTGAGTGGAAACTAGAAAGTAGAGATAGTACCTAGGTATTATTAAATTACCTGGTTATCTGGGTAATTTAGTATAGCCATATAATAAAAATGCCTACCCGGGTACAATCTCTACTAGGAAGTAAATATTTAGCATTAGATTTTAAAATCATCACAATAATCAATATTACAAGACTTTTAACCAATCAAAATTAATATAAATCATTTGATAATACTTAGCTCTAAAAATTTCTTTTTATACCCTTTTGCGCCAAAAATTTCATTTTATTTATATATATATATATATAAACTTTTTCTGGGTCCCTGATCAGAATAAACCGGAGCTTGGCTGCATTAAACAATAATACTGGCTAATTATACTAGCAATATACTATAGCAAAATTAGTAGCTAAGCAATTTTACTTAATATATAAGCTAGAGAATTTAGAAAAATTTATCAAATCTGGCCTATTCTAATTCTAAATTTGGGCTGATCTGCTGAATTTTGGTTGTACTACTAATTTATTCTAAACAAATATTAGTAATTGGCTGGGAATACCTGAAAGTCTACCTGAATTAACTCCACTAAAAATTATAGATCCATAATTTTCCATAATTTTTAGAGAAAATCCATAATTTTGAGGATTATTTATAAAAAATCAAAATTTTAGAAAATTTTATATATGATTTTAGCGATTTGATTGGTTACAAATTATGTTATCTATTAATTTCTATTTTATTTTTTTTTGATACCAGATTGTGGTATCTTTTATTAGAGGTTAACAAGATTACATCTGTATTACAAACTTTATATATTTGATATATTTGTAAATCCTCTTTAGTAAAGCTAACTGCTATACCTTGTGCTGCTGAGTATTATTACCAGACCACCCAAGTTTAACAACTGCCTACTATTTTTCTATTAGACACATCTTGAACAACAGCTACCTGCTATATTAGTACTATGTCTAACAGAAGAGCATAGTAGAGTCCTTAATTCCTTTTATGTCCTATATATTTTCAGATTAGATATTCAGAAATATCTCTCTGGTTTATCTAAACTTATTGCCTGTTTACCCAAGCTAAATCCTGTCACCCCTGAGTTTATTAGGACAAATTCTGTCACTTCCTGAGTTTGCCAGAACTGGTCTTAGTCACCAGACTATCTACTCAGTTACTTAGGCTTTATCTTCTGCTTTTGATAAATTTACACAATATCAGTATTCACATTCAGACTTTTTTTTTCCAGATTCTTTATCAGTCTATCTCTTGCTTCCAGCTAGCAACTTAGAAGAGTCGGTCTGCTAGGTTTTAGGTGCCTCATGGTTACTCTCCCCTTGGTACATACTTTTAGAGCATATATATTTTTTTTTAGTGTGTCTATTCAGCAGTTTGGTTAGTATATCTAGATTGGTCGCTTGGTTCTCCGATCTCAGTTCTCAGTCCCAAATTTGGTCTTCCTGTAGCACCATCAAAAATCATACTACTTTCCAACTTGGAACTTCCCAAACAGGTTTTTAGAACTTCTGGTTCTTTGAATTTATTGCACCAAAGCTCCTATTCCTAGATAGTGTAACTAAGATTACAGATTAATCTATATCCAACCATCAATAACCATTAACGATATTTTTTCAAAATTGTCATTTATGAGATTTGAACTCTAGACCTGCTGCTTAAAAAAAGTAATAACTAGACCACTATACTAAGTTGCTACACCTTGTACTGTAAGTAAATTATACAATCATTTAGTTAAAAATATTGAATTTGTATATCTAACTCTTGTTTAAAAAAAATCTAATTTAAATTTTTTAAATTTATTATTGTTGTCTAAGTCTCTAAAGATATTTATAATAGTGTTAATAATCCAAATCCAATAAGTCACAAAAAATTAGGCTCTATATATTTGTAAAACACTTAATGATTACTGAACTCAGTAATCAACAATTATATAGGGCGCCAAAAGTAGAAACCAAGAAATTTGACAATTTTTAGAAAATTAACCTGTTTGATTGATTAGATATAAAATTTAAAGCCCAATCTTTTTTATTTAATAATGAAAGTTTGATCACTTAATAAAATTTTGCGATACAGTGATTAAAAGCTTTTGATATCATAATCTAAAAATAGCAGATATTAGTATGATAGTGATCTACAGATCTAATAATCCTGTCTAAACAGGTTTGTTAATATTGAATAAACTATTTTTAGATTGTTTTGATTTTGTGTAACAAACCAGTTTTTACCAATTTTTTCAAAACCTGTAATCAGCCAAATTCCCTGGTTTCTACTTTTGACACCCCATATAATGACGTTATTTGTTTACCAGAACTAAACAAACTAGCCTAAACTAACTCCTACTCTATAGCCTGAGTAATTGTTATATAGTAATATAATGATCACTAGGTTCAGTGTTCTTTAATCTTCTCTATGCTCATTACAATGATTTAATACTAACTATATTAGCACTAATAGTTTTTTGGTCTGATTTATAAAGACTAAACTGGCTACAGACTGTAGGACTTGCAGTTTTAGTTCTCTACACCTGATTTACGCTATAAAAAATTTAGTTTTTTCAAATTTAGACCAGATATTTGCTTAATCTATGACTTTATTCTAGTGTTCAACAAAATCAAATAAAAACTTGATTTTCAAGTTTTTTAATCTATTATAGTGTTTCTATGAACTAAACTGAACCCGAATCTAGATTGAGTTTGGGTTTGGTTCAAAGTTTGAACCAAACCTGAACTGAACTATTTTTGAAAATTATGTTTAGATTCGGTTCGAATTTGAACTTTTATTGTTCATTTGAGTTCAGGTTCAGGTTGGATATTCATGAACATGTTCAAGTTCGAACAACAAATAAAGTAAATAGTTCCTACCTATGACACATATATACGTAATACATGTACATATATATATCATAGATAAGAACAGAATTTTTAAGATTAAAGTTAGGATTTTAGTATCCCTTAAGCTGTAGAGTTTGTATAACAATTTTAGCTTAAAAATAGTATAAATTTAGTTATGATTTATTTTTTTT